TGGGTGGCCTGCTGAGGTGAATCAAGGGCTGGAGCTGGCTTGAGCTCCACTGGCCCCTGCCCCCAAAACAGAAGTCATACTACACCTATGCCCGAGGCCCCTCCCAGCCCAAACCCCCTGAGAACCTCCTTCTGCTGCTGGGCCCTGGCATTTTAAATAGCATGTTCTAATTGATTGTCTTTGAACTCATTTGAATACGAGCAATTTTACCAGGTGTCCCGTATTCAGCACAGGCGAAGATGGTCACCCTAGATTCAAAGGAGGGCCTTTTAAGGCATCTGAGCACCAAGCTGAGGTCCCGTGATAGTGCAGGGCATCTGATTTATGAGAAGATGTTTGCCAATCTCTTCAGAAACCTCCTTGTTGTAGGATAAGCAAAGACAGAAAAACCCTCTACCATATGATGGAAGGCTGTTATAGCTGCCAAGTGCACTCTAACAAAGCTTAGAGACAATCCTGTCATTTTAGCTCTAGGATGTAATCCAGTATAACTAATAATGGAGAGGATGTAGTGAAAGATGTCTTAGATTATACCAGTGATTGAATCTCATCCACTTTTGTACATAGGTATTACGAGTGGATTGTTTCCTACGATGTAACAGCACTCTCGTTACATCCTCAGAACAGTCTGCTTCTAACCCTGTGAACCTTCTATCAGCCATGCCTTGAATTGAAGCAGCTCAAGGTTGGGGTGAAGGATTTGACCGGCACCCTGTGGGAGAAGATGGGGAAAGGTCTGGAGGGTAACTGGTTGACAGACAGAGAGCTGGATGAAGTAAGGGAACCATCTTTGTCTTGGTCACATCAGAACCACTAGAGTAACGCTGGCCTTGTCTTTTCTGATCTTGAATAGCACCATGGATATCGAGAATGTTGGGGGAAATGCATACAGCAGGCCTGAACTCCAAACAAAGGTGAAAGGCTTCCCCTAGGGAGTGATGACCCAGTCCGCCTCTCAAGCAGAACTGGGAGTCTTCTTGCTCTTTGGGGTGGCGAACAGCTCTATCTGCAAGTTGCCCCAACATTGAAATATCCGGTGGAGTGTAATGCAATCTATCTCCCATTTGTGATCTTGTAAGAAAGGCCTGCTGAGGGCATTTGCTGCTGTTTGATATTTTGGGCATCTGATATTTTGTATACCCAGAAAGTAAGCTGCTGAGATAATGATCTGGTTTCGTATGCACCAATTCCAGAGTCTCCTTGCTTCAGCACAGGGGGAAGGTGATCTCGCTCCCCCTCGAAAGTGATATAAAACATTCAGGACAGGTTGTCCATCATTTTCTTCATGTACTTGCCCCTGATTTCTGGAACCAGGAAGTACCTGGAATAAAATCATTTCCCTCTGTATGGCATAGGAGCCATTCAATAGCATCCAAGTTTAGGAGGATGTCTATTTCCTGTCACAGGAGATGCTCATCTTTTAAGGTATGCAGTGACTTGTCATTTTTTTCTGCAAACAGCTTCAATCCATCGAAAGGAAGGTCCCTCAACTGTATTTTGGACTTCCCTCAGAAACCCTGAGAGCTGAAGCCAGGAGGGCCTCCTCATGACTGCCATGGAGATAGAAAGAGCAGCTGTACCAGTGGTGTCCAGGGAGGCCTGCAGAGTTGTTCTTGCCAGCGGCTGACCCTCAGCAATGATTGCCTAAAATCGTTTCCTCTACTCTATTGGAAGATGCTCAATAGTTAGTATGGCTTTATTTCACCATGAGAGCTTGGTAGTTGGTGAACCTAAATTGTAGAGACGTGGATGAATAGGACACTCAGCCAAATAAGAATAAGTCAAGTCGCTGTAGATCTCTATCATAAGGTGATGAGTTAGCATGGTGCTGTCTTCCACATTCTTTCACAGTGTCCACCACAAGGGAGTTGGGTGATGGATACAAAAATAAAAATTCTGAGTCCTTACAGGGAACGTAATATTTTTTTTTGTCCATCCTGTTACAAGTAAGTGGTATTGTGGCCAGGGTTCGCCAAATTATTTTTGCATTGTCTAGCAGGGCGTCATTAATCAGTACATGATGTGGGCAGATGATGTAGTGTGCAGAATGTCTAGCAGCTTATGCTGTGACTCCTTAACCTCCTCAAGTGGAATTTCCAAGGAGTTCTCTTTCCTTTTAATAAGGTCCTGGAATGGTTTAAAAATCACCAACCAGTGATGGTGGAGAAGGTATGGCGGCTTCATCTGGACAGGAGGAAGATATGTTAGAATGGACAAGGAAATCACCCGAAAAGCTCACTTCCTGCTCCTCAGTGATCTCCTCCTGTGGATCAAGCATCCTAGAGAGCGACAGACAGAGAGAGAGAGGCAGGCTGGTGAGGATTGTCTTCTCTCTGGATGACAAAAACACTAGGGGCCCTGGCAAATTGCTGGCAATAAGCCATCCAGAGTTCCAGTATGACCAACGAGGTGGTGCATAGGGCAGGGGTGGAGGCAGCACCCAAGGGTGTCCATACCAACTGCATGGGGCATGTCTCTCACTGGGACATGCGGATTCCTTGGAGGTCTCAGGAAAGAAGTTTCCCTGATAATGGAAGGGAGAGCCCTGAATGGCAATGTGGGAGACTGATGAGAAGTGCCCATCTTCCTCCTCCTCGACACTTGGTAAAGGTGGAGCACTCAGACAGATAGATGGACACTCCAATGTTACCAGGTGAATGTCTGGAGACCAAGAGGTGTTCAACACCAGCAATGGTTTGGTGCCAAAGAGAGGGGATTCAAGTGTTTCTGTTAATGCCAGGTCTTGCAGGAATCAAAACGCTTGTGGTACTGGAGCAATGATTGATACCGATGAAGCAGGTTGGCAGAAGTAACTGTGGCAGAGGGAGCAGTCGGTACCAAAAGTCTTATGTGCTCTGATGAATAGTAGGTGATGGTCTGGTCTTCTGTGGTGCCAAAGTGCTGGGTATCTAGTAGACTCTGTTGGTACCAATTTAGAAGAGCTGGTCGTCTTCTCCCTCCACTCCAATCACCAGATGCTACCAATCTTCTGGAGCAGGAACACTTAGAGTCCTTGGGTTTACCGGTGTTCACGGTACCTGAGGAACCTACAGCCTTGTCAGTACCGAGTTGGAGACTGGTACGTGCCAAGGCAGGTGTCTGCAACAGAGACTGTTTCTTTGAGGTAGAGTCTCTACCTAGCGGGCTTGAAAACCACTTTCTAGAGTCTTTTTGAGAGGATTCCATAGATTTCTTTTTCAATGCTCTAGAGGAGTGCTGTGCCGAGGAGGTTGAAGTGGTCGACTTGTTGGGAGACCATTGTGTGGGAGGGTCCCCTGGCCAGGGTCAGAAGCCAGTCAGAGTGAGCTCTCCATCATAAGGCGATGTAGCTTAAATCCTGCTTCTTTCTGGCTCTCGATTGTAATGCCAAGCAGAAGTTACACTTTTGGGGAACATGTGACTCCCCAATGCAACGGACACACCAGGAGTACCTGTCAGTGACTGGGATAGCCTCTTGGCACGAAAGGCAGTGTTTAGAACCGGGCATGTCCTTCCAGCATTTAAGTTCCTCTGAGGGGAGGGGAAAAAAAAAAACAGGCGAAAGGACAACTGGCCTTATCCTAAACAAATAAAAAAAATTATTACAAAAATTTACTTATTTTATAAAATTACCTCAACTAGCACACACAAAGGAAACACTAAGAACTACCACTAACTAGTAACATATGAGGAAAAAAATACAGTTGAGGTAAGCTCAACTCAGATGCTGCTAAGGCTCTGTTTCAGGCCAAGGCGATTGAGAAGGAGCTGAGGTCAGTTCACCCGCAGAGCTCTACATAGCCACCGTGCCAGGCACAAGGCTACAGGGGGCACATGCGTGGGCCGAACAGACACTGCTATGTAAAATCTTTGATCTGACGCACATGCACATCTACGGGGAGCACCAATAAGGGCACTACTTGAAGAAGAAAGATTTTTATTTCGGTTATCAAAATACACATTTGTTGCTGTTTAAACAATTAAACATTGTCATTTAAAAAAAAAAAAAACAAATTTCCATGCCAATGTGCCTTATCTAGCATTCACAAGCCTCCCTTCTTTACTTAATTATCCTGTACTTACATGAAAATAACTTCAGAGTAAAAGACTGTAAAGCTAACGCAAAGAAAAGTTCAACAATTACATTTTAAATCCTAATATCAGTGAATAATGAAATTGTGCTTTCCTTGATTTAAAGTTATAGCATAATCAATCCATTTTAATATCAAATTTATCAGTTATGTATAAAGCATAAAAATAAAATAAATGCTAGGTGTTTCGCAACAAATTGAAGAGTGCAAATTTCACAATACAGTCAACTTTTTAATCACGGTAACAAAGACAGGAACTCAAATGTTCTTCAGTAAACTCAGCTTCTTCATAAAACTATACACCATCAGAGTCTTAGTCCAGATCTTCAGCTAGTGTAAAATGACATAGCTCCATATAAATCAATGGACCAGTACTGAATTACACGACCTGCGAATCTCATTTGTTTAAAAAGAAACCTTAGAGTGATATTTAGGAGTAGCCAAATTAGAGATGTATGTCAATTATTTCAAGTCAAAATTCATCTGGCTTTGATTTTTCCTAATTTGTCTTTCACTTCCCCCTCTCCCCGCCCCCCCCCCCAAAAAAAGGAGGGAGGTGAATACAATAAAACAAACTGAAGCAATTTTCACTGATGTTCACTACCTAAAACACTCATTTGAAATTCAGCACTCGGGAGAAAAAAAGTACCAAAACATTTGTTTTGTTGCTGCTGCTTTGCTTTTAATCTAAAAGTAAGAGGTAACATTCCTAACATATTCATTGTATTTTTTGAAAACGTGTGCAAAGAGCTTTATATGTAGTTTTGGAAAACAGAACCAAAATTACTATCTTTCTAAAACAAAACAAATGTTTAAATGTAATGTTTTTTGCTCCCCCTTGTTAAGCTGAACTGAGTTAGCTCAGCTCCACTCTCTAAACTTTTCAGTCGAGAAAGCTAGTGAAGAAAATAAAAAGGAAGGTTAACTTACGTGCCCCAGACTGAATTTTCATCAGCTCCTGAAGGTCAGTGGTGATTTTGGTGACCTGCTTGTGGAACTGTTGGACAGAATTTTTGAGGCCAGAAATGTCTTTGGAATGAGATGTCATGGTTCCATTCATCTGATTGATGCAGTTCCATAAGCTAGTGACATGCTTGTTCAGACCTTCTTTTATTCGTTGCAGGCTACCTGAGATGGAGTCCATTTTGCTGCAGACTTTTTCAACATGGGACAGTCTGCTATCCACATCTGAGACTCCCTCTTGGATATCATCGGTGTTCTCTTTACATTTCCTGAGGTCATTAAAGATTTGGTACTTTAGCTGTTCCATCCTCTCCTTCACCTCATTACAGCAATTATTTGGGTGAGAGGTTTGACTCACAACTGTTCTTCGTATTTCATCTATTTTTCTGAATACACCTCGCTGGATCTTTTCACATGTAGAATTGACACCCAGAAGTTGCTCCTTGCAGCTGCTCAAGCCAACCTGAAGATTTTTCACATCTTTATCGATGATGTTTAGACCATACCAAATTCTACGAAGATCCTTCTGGATGTTCTGTTGGTTGCTCTTAGTAAAGTTAAATTTCTCATTAAGGGAACCATTTAAAGACTTCAAAAGAGCAGAGTTGTCTTCTACTTTCAAAAGCAAGTATTCATATTTGTTGCTACCATTTTCTATGCTTTTCTGAAGGTCTTCCATATCTAGGGGTGCAGATTGGCATTTCTGCCAGCAAAGGTGTTCAATGGCTTGCAGTTTGTTCCTCAGGAGATTCATCTCAGTTGTAAGCTGCTCATTTCCAGATCCTGGGTCACTGTGCAAGACTGATCCTGAACTAATTGATAGTCCATCTGAGGCTGTGACATTGGCAATTTCTAAAATAGTGCCACCCAGCCTGTCTTCCAGTGCCTGTAGTTTTTGATCAAGTAAGTCTCTGACTTCATCCACTTCAGCAGCTATAGCACCTCGGAGAGTTTCCTCAATGTAAAAACAATGTTCTTCAGCATTCCTCTCTGTAATATTAATTCTAGCGTCTAGCTCCTCCCATCTTGGGCCAAAGATGTCTTCTAGATTTGGAGTGGACATGCGAATGATTTCATTATCTATTCTGGCATTTAAGATTCTGTGTGCTTCCACAACTCTGTCAAGTTTCTCATCCAAATTCTTTATCTGTTGACCAAAGTCATCACTGTGGCTGGTCTTGCAGCAATCTGACTGGTTTGAAGGAGCCTGGATCTGAGTTCTGAGCTCGTTTATTTCTTTCCTTAGGCCATTTTCTTTTTCTTCTACAAGTTGTATTATTTCTGAACAGCTGGTTTCATGGTCATCACATTGTTGCTGGATATCCATTAGTTTGTATTCACATGAGTTTTTCAGATCTGCCATTTTCTTCTCCAATCCTTCCAGCATTTCTTGTCTCAGGGCCTCAATTTTAGAATCTAGATATTCCTGATATAAATCACCATTCGGTATTGTTATTGTAGGTCCTCGTACTGCTTCCTGCAGTTGTTTTAATTGCCCTTCATAGCTTTTCACTTTCCCATTCAGTTCTTCCAGCTTGTCATTTTTTGTCTTCAAGGTATTTTTGACCTCAGCTAGTTCAGACTTTATGTCTTCCATTCCAAAATCAGTAAAAGGCTCTTTCTGGTCTTTATTGCCAAGGATTCCAGGCAGATGAATACTGTCTGTTTCACCACCCAGGACACTATCAGGCCCTGGGTGATCATGAAGGTTGTTCAGCCACGAGACCAACATTTTACTGGCATCTTCTTGGACAGTAAGTTTCAGGTTTTCATTCACACCTGCTAAGGAGGACTGAAGATCAAGCACTGTTCGCGTAAGTCGAAACAATTCATCCTCAAGGAATTGAATTTTCTTCCCAGGTGATTCCCAGGGCATTTCTGTTGGTTCTGAGTCTGTTTTAAAGACATAATGGAAACAAAATTTGGATGCAAGTATGTCTAAACAACAACAGTTTAGAACAACTGGAGATCAATTTTAATTTCTTTAGGTCAAGTTAAAAGCATATTAATGCTTTATAAATATTATATAGGTTGGTGTCCTCTTTTCTATTCTCAGTCCTTGTTGTCGGTGGTTTATAATTCAGCCGTTATCAGTTCATTCCAAGGTAAAGGACTGAAATCTTTAGTGTTTTGGCTGCATCCTGCACTAGAGATCAAAGAGATCCTTATGCCTGTCCCTTCTTTGTAGACCCATGATATCTAGCCGCTAGTATGCATATTAAGTAGCTATATTTACCTAGAGTTTACATGAATGATTATTTTAGAGCCATTATATCTCTCATAACAATAATTAATACTGGTCACATTATAAGCAGAAAACAACTTTACCTTTTTCTGCTCCTGAATTATTTGTGAATAGGCATTAATTTCAGTGGGACCACTCGTGCTTACAGTTAAGGTTTGTTCTTAAATATCTTGTTGAACCAAGGTCTAAGCACATTTATATGATGGAGTAACGCAGATTCCAAGGTTATAACCCTTGTTTTAAAAATTCCAAGTTATTTAATATACATTTTAAAAGTCCATAAGGAATGTGTGTTTTCTACAAGCAAAAACTAGAAAAGAGAAAAGGAAATTCTCACGCACAAAGAAAATTATTAGATCATAACACTGAATTTATTTTCTTTTGTCAAACAAAGGTAAAAATTTAGTCTTATAGTTGAAATTCAGTTATTAACTAATAACTGCACTTCAATTGCAAGGTAATATATGGTCAAGATATAGTGGGCAACCTTATATATAACCTATATGCACAATGAACTCATATAAATTGAATTTTCAGCCTGATCATTAATTTTTGGATTTAGTCATTCAAGTCAGGTCCTTGATGTAATTTTTGTATACATAAATACAATTATACATACACAGATTTGTGTGTATATATATATATGAATATAGACATACAAACTGTATATATAGTGTAATAGAGAGACAAGGTGGATGAGGGAATATCTTTTATTGGACCAATTTCTGTTGGTGAAAGAAACGAGCTTTTAAGTTACACAGAGCTCTTGCTCAGGTATGGGAAAGGTACTCAGAGTGTCATAGCTAAATACAAGGTGGAACAGATTGTTTAGCGTAAGTTAGAATATCTATTAAGGGACCATTCAAGTTGAAGTAGTCTATTAACACCTCTGCAGTCATAGGATAAAAGGGGAGGGGCATTGGGGTTACGAATTCTTGTAATAAGCCATAAATTTAATGTCTTTATCAGAATCATGATTTTTAGGCCTGGTCTACATTACAGATTTTGGTAGACGTAAACTACTTTGCCTTGACTAACTGAGGAAGTGTCTTCCCTTAAATTTGGCTCTTGCAGAGTGATATGGTGTTTGTTTTGTGTGTGAAAAATGATAAGACAGAAACACCGTATCATCCGTGGGTGAAGACTTTTCACAAAACCATTACTCCATATCTGAGTGTGTACTCACCTACTAAGGAAACCTGCATGAACACCTTCGAAAGACAAGCCTGAGAGCTTACATTCATAATTTTAAAAAAAACAAGGAGTACTTGTGGCACCTTAGAGACTAACAAATAAATTTTGTTAGTACTCCTCGTTTTCTTTTGCTGATACAGACTAACACGGCTACCACTCTGAAACCCGATTCCTAACTTTGCTCAACACCAGGGCCAGGTCTATAGAATTATGTCGACCTAATTTACGTGAGCATACAGTCACTGCAGTTATTAAATCACTTGTGTGTGTAGACACTTGACTTCTTTTGTCAGCAGTGCGCAGCCTCACGAGTGCTTGTATCAATTTTATTGTCAGTGTGGGATGGCTCCTAGAAGCCAGTAAGAGTCGACGTAAGCCATACAGTGTCTACACTGACACTGCATTGACTTAATTACATCGACCATGACTAGGGTGACCAGAAAGCAAATGTGAAAAATCGGGATGGAGGTGGGGGGATAATAGAAGACTATATAAGAAAAAGACCCAAAAATCGGGACTGTCCCTATAAAATTAGGACATCTGGTCATCTTAACCATGACTCTATGCCACTTGGGGAGGTGATGTTACTAAATCGATGCAGAGAGGCACTTGTATCGGCAAAAGCCAAATTTAAGGGAAGACATTTCCACAGCTGGGTCGGCGCAAGGCAGCCTACGTCAACCTAATCCCGTATCGTAGACCAGGCCTAAAAAATCATGGTTTTGATAAAGACAATGAATTTATGACTTATTACAAGAATCTGCAACCTACTAACTCCTCCCCCGCCCTTTTTTGTCCTCGGACTGCAAAGGTGTTAATGGGCCACTTCAACTTGAATGGTCCTTTAGAATATCTGTTAACTCCTTATTCTAAACAATCTCTTCCACCTTGTATTTAGTAGTGACGCTCTGAGTACCTTTTCTAGACCTGAGGAAGAGCTCTGTGTAGCTTGAAAGCTTGTCTCTTTCACCAGTAGAAGTTGGTCCAATAAAAGATATTACCTCAACTACTTTGTCTCTCTAATATCCTGGGACCAACATGGCTATAGGCATAACTGGTGTGCTAGTTATTTGAAATACTTGCCACCATCTGTTGTCCTTTTTCACAAATAGTCACTTACATTATCTAATCTATATTATTCTGTTGAAAATAGATTTATTTACTACTTAAAATCATAGCAATCTGTTCACTTCCAACCCAGTGTATGTAACAAATGCCAACGGAATTCTGAGTGTTGTACATGATATTAATTTCTGATAAATGTTGTAATAAATTCCTCCAGCAGAAGCCTTCTGTTTCATTGTCTTCTACTTAACCGAGACTAAAATCACAATCTTGTAGTAACTGAACTTCATTTACCCTCGCAGTGTTTTATGAAAACATCGTTTACTCTTACAGGTTTCATCTCAACAGTTGAGGTTTGCTATTTATCTGCCCTGTAGGATTAGTTAGTTATGTTTGGACTGCCCTTTTACAAGTAAAATGCTATGCAAGTATTATGCATTATTAGTATGTAATTTAAAATGATCATGTATTACTATTATCACTTTTGGTTCTATAGCAGTGCTAATCAAACTCATCTTCCCTGCAACATTCTGGGGGGAAAAAGAAAAAAATCCACTAAAAACCTTTAAACTGTATCACAAACAAGTTTACCACAAGGAATTTCCTGAACTATTACTGACCAGCATGGGTTTATGACTAGCCTTATAACCCAGTCATTCATCACCCCCAGGAAACACCCTGAATCAGTATTGTTATAGCTTTGCTATTTCCCCCCCGCCCCCACTATATGACATCTTGAATATTGTTTTTGAACCATTCAGTAGCCGTGTAACTGAAGCCACTTTTCTTTTGGTTCAAACGACAAAATACAAAACTAGACATGATCATGCATACCAAGAGTCAAACAAAAAGTTACCCAAGACTTTCTTCACACCAGTTCGTGGTGGTGGAGTGGGAAACAGGATGGTTCTTGGTTGTTCTGCTGGGCCTTCTCTGCAATCTGCACCTTTATAACCAGGACAACATCTCCACTCCAGTTCTGTTACTGTCTTATAAGCAATTGTATATCGAGGTCTGAAACTCATACGGTAGCTGCCAAAATAGAAAGAGAGTACTTAAAAGTAATCTGTAATCATTCAGTCATTTATATCAGACCTAGATTCAAAAAGACAGTAATCAATGATGACTAATTAAATTAATAATACCTACCAAGATTTATTTTTCCTCTTAGAGAGAGCATAACACTCTAGTTATACATACACATGAACACCTACCCACTGTTGGTAAGAGTTAACAAACAGGATGTGCCGCCTGTATAAATCGGGTTTTCGCACTATGAACTGACTGATGTACAGGAGAATGGGAAGTTACTGAGAGTGTTGGTGACTACCAGTGTTAATATTGCACTACTGATTCAACAGTTTTCCTTCCCACTGAATGCTTTTTCTTACATCCTTAAACACAGAGCAGCTGCTGAATCAGAGCCAACCTGAATCTCAAAAAACTTTTGCTGCCTATTTTGTCTCATAAAAGTACTATTTTTCTGCATTATGTTGACTTACATTTTTTTTCAGCATCAGCATATGTGATATAGTGACCATAGGTGCCGACTCTGTGGGTGCTCTGGGGTGCCACAGCAGCTCCCCCCCACCCCCGCTCACCTCCGCCTCCTCCTCTGAGCGGGCTGATGCATCCTGCTTCTCCCCCCTCCCTCCCAGTGCTTGCGCCAAAAAACAGCTGTTTCGCATGGTAAGCCTGGGAGGGAGGGGGAATGTGGTGTGCTTGGGGAAGAGGTGTGGCCTTGGTGGGGATTTGGGGAGAGATCCAATGGGGCAGGGAGGGCGCAGAGTCGGGGCAGGGCCGGGGGAGGCGCGAGCCCCCACCGGCACCAACTAAAGTTGGCGTCTGTGATAGTGACCATTGTCAGAATTAGGAAAGAGGTTCCATTCACTGAGAGTGGCTTAAGAAAAAAAAGGTTTGGAGGTGGGCACAGAATAGGGATATGAAGGACATAGTTAGAAGAAAGGCTTGGAATGATCAGGGGAGGGGGAAAAAGGAGATTAGAGAAGAGAAGTAGGAAGGAGTTAAGGTGTAGAAGATCTTGAAGACAAACCTAAGTGTGCACAGGCAGGGTGCCAGGAGAGACTGATTTCTGTTCTCCAAGTGGCTGAAGTTTGAAAGCTGCATCTTGGCCTAGAAAGATTACTCATTCAGAAGCACTGCTGGGCCTTGTTTTTAGTAATTATTAGTTTTATTGGGCCATCTTATGAGCATTTGAAAAATCACATACTGAGCGTGTACAGTGAGTTTTTTCCCCTAAGTTCATTAAATGCACACTTAAGAAAAGATGTGGGATGTGTATGTCAGTAGTTACCTGCATTATGAAGCCCTTCATCTCCCACAGTGCTCCAAAACCAGCCCTGATAATTTTCACACAATGTGGCTAGATTCTGGTGCCTTTGGTGGTAATGTCCAGGTGTTGTTTAGCCAAATAGCTCAAGATTAGGGAATTACCATGTTCTATGACATTACTTTGTAAGACAGCAGAGCTTTGAAACCCTAGAGAATGACAGGTTTCAGAGTAGCAGCCGTGTTAGTCCGTATCCGCAAAAAGAACAGGAGTACTTGTGGCACTTTAGAGACTAACAAATTTATTAGAGCATAAGCTTTCTTGGGCTACAGCCCACTTCATCGGATGCATAGAATGGAACATATAGTACAAAGATATATATATACATACAGAGAAGGTGGAAGTTGCCATACAAACTGTAAGAGGCTAATTAATTAAGATGAGCTATTATCAGCAGGATTATCACTACAAAAGTTTTTTTTTCTCCATGCTGTTCCATATATGTTCCAGTCTATGCATCCGATGAAGTGGGCTGTAGCCCAAGAAAGCTTATGCTCTAATAAATTTGTTAGTCTCTAAAGTGCCACAAGTACTACTGTTCTTTTTCCTATAGAATGAAACACCTTATTTTTATAGTTTTTAATTACCCCCTTTCCCACCAGCTCTTTTCTTTTTAGAAAAATCCAGAAAAAATAAATTTAATTAAATGCAAAAAACTATATATAAATATTTTAAGTTTCCATGGTTAAGCACTTGTAAGTTGGTAAATTACAAATTTGAAACGTTAACCTTAATTTTGCACCCTCTGTTTATGTATTACAACAATCTTTAATCAGATGATCACCAACTATTTCTAAATATCAAGTTTCTTCCCTATACATGATACATGTGGCATCTTGCAATTTTTTTCATACTACATTGACAGACAGACCATTTTCTCCTTATGGGTATATGCTGAAGCAAGACAACACACACACGCACATCTCATTTCAAAGTAAGAGACAAGGAAAAAACAAAACAAAACAGGGACTATTTTCTTTAACTGTGTCTCCATAAATTATTACACTTAGAATAAAAAGTAATGTGAACAAATACAATGTTACCTATTTGCTTGAAATAATGCCTTCACGGTTGATAAAATTAGTATCCTGTTGCTATCCTTTATACTGTATAGTGTTTGGTTTGCTTTTTCATGTCTCAGATTTGTTTGTCTGATTGTGAGTTCTGGTGATAGGCTAATGAAACACACACACACTCCACAACTTTGATGTCACTGGAATAGTAATGCAGTAGAAAGGAAGACAGGATAATGACATAGGACTCAATGGGAGTTTTGCCATTGACTTCAGGAACATATGGATACAGGCAACACACTGCAGACTGAGCACCACAGACAGTCACAAAACTTGAACTATATATGAATGACTGTATTAAATTAATCATTTTCTAACATTAAATTGGGAAGAGTGTTATTGTTTAAATGAGACAGAAATCAACCACCAGACTAAAAAGTTTAAATCCTGCTGTGTTTGGGAAACAATTCCTAACACAAATGAATTAAATATTATTTTAACTGTTACTCTTGCTGACTTCTTGCCACATGCAAAAACAGTTGCTTTAGTAATTAGACATATTTTAGCCAACATCTTCTATTCAGTAAAATGTGTCTTTATCACAATTGTAACATAATGTCCTACATCCGTTATCCATTTACTGTCCCTCTCTGATTTAGTATGCGGCTCAGAAAAGTCAGGGGGAAAAATGACTATTAAGAATCCTTTTCTCTTCTAATCAAGTTTCTTTCCACATTCCACAATAATATATTCTAACCTTTGCATCAATCTTAGGTCTAAAGAAAGAGAATGTTTTTCTGCATTACGTTCATTGCAATCTCTAGTTTGAGAAAGAAAGAATTATTGGACTGTGAAGACAACTGTGTACTTCCTTCAACTTATATTTATATAAGTTGTATTTTTAGGCAGCCTAATTAAAATATTTTTTTTAAAAATCACTTTCTGGAGTCTCTGATCCTTGTGGTTATTTTATCTCAAATGCAGAAGTCCACAGGATTTCTCATCTGCTACTCAGCTAATGTTAACAAAATAATAATCAGAGTCAGTGTATCATGGTTTCAAATTCTGACCTACGGCACACTCATTCAGACTGTTTCCACTAAATTTTACATTCATGAAAATATAAACTCAGAACTGTAGGTTGCACACAAGTTTATCGTTTCTGTTATGATTTCCATCAACAGATCTAACAAATCCTGTTTGTAACTGCAAAGTACAGATGTCCTAGGTCAAATTCCTAAACATTAAATAGATTAATGTAGTGGAAAGTGGAACAATGAAAAAAACAACATCCTGGCCACCCACGACTTTCCTGTTCATCTTTTCTTGTTTATAACATTAAATCACTTATATTCTATATGTAAATTTTGTTAAGGTGCTTTTACTTTGACCTACTTGCTGGAGACAGTGGAGTGACTGAGGATTAATTAGATATTTCAGTGGTTTGAGGGTCATTACAATCTCTCTCAGAAATAGCATCTAACTGGAATACAAACTTTGAACTCATAGGTCAATTTTGGTATGAAGGAGATGGCAATAGATACTCTCTGATTTCCATGAAATGTTTAACTACTCTAAGCTTGGTGTGTGTTCCATTCCATCCCTGTGGGGCCAAACTCCTTTTTGAAAATTAAGATATTTTGTTAATCTGCTCCAAATACAATTAGCTAGGAGTTTGTAATAAACTTTTAAAAGAACAGGTTTAAAGGAATGTAAGAAAAGAACTCAGACACAGAATTTCATCTCACTTTACTCTGAAAAACTGTGTAAATGAATTTTTTTTGAAGCAGTCCCTTTTGCAATTCATAACACAACTATTGCCCTTTACCCTGTGCACACTTTCCCTGTGACCTCCTTCAGAGCTAAACAAGAGGAGATCATCTCAAAAAATATTCAGGTAAAAATAAATCATGACAAAAAACACATAAGAATAAAAGAGGAGTGAAACAAAAATTAAAGCCAATCAGGACAAATCTTATTCATACAGACAATTTACATATGATTTTACTACTCTATATATCCTGCAAAATAAAATAAAATAAAAAAAGTGATTACAGTATGCTTACCATTACTTGATACACATATGGTATTTATGTGAAAATACAACACAGAATATGCCATCAATTACATTTTTTATTTAAACATTTAAAATGTATTTTAAAATACTTCCAATAATTTAATACAAAAATAAGTCTAAAATATTGGGCTGTCCCTCCTATTCTGATTTGACAGTTTAAAAAAACCCCACATGGTAGGTCCCATGAATCAAGAAATCCCTCACCAACCCTATTCCTTGTGAATTCTTGCAAATTTGATAGCCCATACACAGCATACAGCTTACTCAGACCCACTGGCTCTGATTTGAGTTTCAGCTTTACCACATCAGGTTCAAACTCACCTAAATCTTAAAACAAAACTCCATGGAGCAAGAATTAAAATACGTGAAAAGCCATAGAAAGAACAACCTACAAGTTCTACACTGCTATAATCTTCAAGAGAACTACAGGCATACAAACTGGTGTGCCTTAGCATTTAAATTGGGATTTACGGAGCCACTCAGCCAAGCAGTCCCATCAACATCAGTGTGTCTAGTCATGAGTAAGGCAAACAGGATTTTACCTTAATGGCTTTCCACCATGTTCCCAGCTACAATAAGGTTAATTTCTTAA